ACTTAACATTCAGAATAGTTGCATTATTGTATTACAGTATGTAAAAGTAGGTTAAGGTAGCATGCTAACCTTCTTAGTGTTACTCAAACTATGACAGGTGTAGCAGACTGGTAGATAGCATTAATGATAGGTCACAATAGGTGTAAATGATCTGATAGAGGGTAATGTAGATGCTTAATTAACTTAGAAAGTGAGAAGACCACTGGGCCCCCACTCGCAAGCATTTTGCAGTACTGCATGAAATTAAAGTAACACCAAACAAAAAAGCTGTTGCAAACAGTAAGACTTAAAGGCCTTATAGGGCTCATAAATGCAAGGAGATATCAAATGATATGACAGAGACACTTATATTAAACAAGCTATATGCCTGGTTTAGCGAGTCTGTTGTCAGCCGATACCATAATAGGGAACGTGTGATGGTCGCTATGGTGTGCTGCAGAATGGGAGCAAAGTTTGGTATCTCTCCAGCCCCTGGTCTGATCGCAGGCCTGCATCTTTAAGCCACAAGCTCGGGTACTCACTGAGTCGGAGGTCTTGATGGTCTGTATCCGTAAGCAGCGGTAGATCTCCGGCCCCTGTAGTTGATGCACCTGTGTGATGCCCTGAACAGCCTTCAGCCGTGGCCGGCCGGTGTTACAAGGCACGGAGAAGACCCCTTCACTCTCTGCGCTCTTCCTCCTGCTGTGGAGGTGTTGCTGCCATGATTCGAGCTTCCAACTTAGCCCAAAAGAGGTGTAAAATCACATCAAGTTGCTGCACAAAGGGGCTGTTTTTCCCTGTTGGGCCTGCTCAAGCTGCGCTGGCTCATACCCAGGATGTGAATGTGCGTCCGCTATATTGAAGGGTTTAGCCTTGGCCTTTCAGAAGGCCACAGAGTTATGTGGAGTGGGCCAGTGGGGACCGGGATAACCCCCGCCGGTCCAGAAGAGGGGAGTACTGGGCTGGATGCAACAGAGCTGCTCAGGCAGTCCCAGCTGCGAGATTGGCTGCCTCTCCCGCCGACAGCAATAAAAAAATAATTTTAACATTTTTAAATATTACTTGTAAAGACAGACTTATGGCTGGCTGGCTACCAGTGGCTAAGGCTAAATAGCCATGCATTTGTGTATGCATTAATATGCTGTGGTACCCTATAATAAACAACCCTTAAATGGAGATATTTCAATTTAAAAATTGAAGTCAGAAGTGCATGAGTCCAGGAACAGAGGCAAAAGTGGCTGACGGTCAGGTAGTCAGTTTAAAAATACAAGAGGTCCCTGTAAAGATGTTAATAAAACACTGCAATGCTTTACAGTGAGAAACACTGCAATTGTACCCTACTCTCTGGTGAGGTGGTTCCTGGAAGTTACAGGATGTTACATAATTTTTCAAATGTTCCAGTGACTGCAGCATTTAATCTAGTAGCAGCCCGAAACATGAGAAGTACCCAGCTGAAGACGCTGAAATAATGTGGGCAATTAGAAAGTGGAATCACCTACCCAAGGCTTCATCTTAACAAACTAAACTGAGTGCAGTTGTCCTGTCAACTTAACAAATTTAAACCTCTTTAGTTTAGAAAAATGTCACCTCAGAGGAGATATGATAACATTATACAAATATATCCGGAACCAATACAAGCCATTATGTGGAAATCTATTTACAAACAGGACTTTACATAGGACACAAGGTCATGCGGTTAGACGGAAAGAAAGAAGATTTAGTCTAAGGCAAAGGAAAGCTTTTTTTACCGTACGAACAATAAGGATGTGGAATTCTCTGCCTGAAGAAGTGGTTTTATCAGAGACAGTACCAAATGTTTAAACAGCAAATGGATGCATATTTGCAAAAACAGAATATTTAATTATATAATTTTTCAATGTAGGGTAGTAGTTTCTTATTCCAAGGATTAATCTGACTGCCATTCTGGGGTCAAGAAATAATTTTGTTTCCTAGTTTGTTGCAAAATTGAAAGTGCTTCAAACTGAGTTTTTTGCCTTCTTTTGGATCAACAGCAAAAAACAAATGTGAGGAAGGCTGAACTTGATGGACGCATGTCAGCCTATTTAATGGTGTAATTATGTAACTGTGCAAAAACACTCAAGTTTTTTTAGAAACTGCAATGTTTACATTGCGGGGTAAATCCGAGTCTAGTGGCTGTTTAGTGTCTAGTCTACTGTCTAGTAGCTGCTGGGATGACCGCATGCTTTATGTCTGGGGATCATACAGATTCCCAAGCCAACATGGAAAAGCAATGGATTGGAGATGCGCATGCACAGTCAAACGTTGCGATCCTCCAAACAAATGCTGCTATTAGCAGCATTTAATTCCAAGACCAATTTTACTTGGTCTGGTGGAAGAAGCTCACTGCCACTAGAGGTGGATTTATCCCTGCAATGTAAGTTTAGCATTTTCTAAAAAAAATTACATCAAAGACTTCTTTAAAGGCAGTGCGGGTGGCTGCAGTGGAACAGCCCCAAAAATGGAAACGAGGTGAGTAATTTTTATTTAAAGAAACACTCTGAGCACCATAAAAAACCTAATCTAAATGAAGTTGTTATGGTGCTAGGAGGCCTCCAGGCAGACTCTTACGTCCAAAATGTGTCCAGCACCGACCTCAACTTCCCCCAGGTGGCATCCAGCTTCTGAAATCTCAGTTTCAGGAAGCGTGGGGCGCCCCTGGTTAGCTAAAAAAAAAAGTGGTCAGTTGAAGCTCTCAGCCAATCATTGACTCTCCATTCACAAAACTGGCTTTAAAAAAAACAAAAAAACTAGTTTGGTAAATGGAGAGTCATTGAATGAAGTGGAATATACAACCATTCAGTGCACTAATTTTTCTATGGAAAAAAAATTATGTTTGATGTACTTTTATATATATATAATTTATTTTTACATTGTTGCAAAACAGTTAATTAACTACCTCTTTACAAGGCTAAGCAAGCACCTTTAAACTGACATCTGGCACTTAGAAGTCCTTCCTTGCATTTGACATTGTCACACCTTGCTTGTGTACTAGGAAAATAATTATCTATGTTGGAGAAAAGAGAGAATATTAAAGGGATTTTATAGTGTAAGGAATATAAAGTTGTATTCCTTACATTATAGATCCCTCTGCCCACCTCCCACCCCTTGTGGCCTCCCCCCAGCATTGAAAGAGTTTAAAAACCCTTCTGTACTTACCTGATTACAGAGCTGATCTCCCTTGGCACTGAGTCGGAGCTCCACCTCTTCTGACTAATGCGCCGTGAGCAACAAGCGCATTAGACCCTCCCCATAGTAAAACAATGCTTTCCTGAGGGGATTTGACTGACATTGGATGGCTTCATAAAGAGCGCAAGGACGTCCAGCATCAGTTAGGCGACTAAAAGTCGCCTAGCAAGCAGTAAGTGTCTCTAGTGGCTGTCAATCAGGCAGTCTTAATCTTGCAATGTTAATTATTGCAGTTTCTAAAAAACTGCAATTATTATTATTAGAATTATTGGTATTTATATAGCGCCAACTAATTCCACAGTGCTTTACAATATTATGAAAGTGGGGGAACAATAGGTAGATGAGGGCCCTACTCAAATGAGCTTACAGTCTAGAGGAGATGGGGTACAAATACACAACAGGCCAGCCAAGGGGACAGCCATCAACAAGGTGGAAAAATAGCATAACTGGAGGTGAGAGTGGAGTGTGGCTCTTTAAGAGAGTAAGAGACAGATATGGATAGGTATAGATAAGTTACTCTGGGAGTCCATAAGCATTTCTGAACAGATGTTTTTTGAGGGACGTTTTAAACAATTGAAGACTAGGGGAGAGTCTGATGGGGTAGGCAGGCTGTTCTAAAGGTAGGGAGCCACCCCCGAGAAGTCTGGCAAGTGCGAGTTAGCAGTAAGGGTGCGAGCAGCGGGTCACCGGAAGAGCGGAGAGACCCTTTATAGTTAAGGGTTAAAGAACCACTATAGTGCCAGGAAAACATACTCGTTTTCCTGGCACTATAGTGCCCTGAGGGTGCCCCCACCCTCAGGGACCCCCTCCCGCCGGGCTCTGGGGAGAGGAAGGGGTTAAAATCTTACCTTTCTCCAGTGCCGAGAGGGGAGCTCTCCTCCGCCTCTCCGCCTCCTCTTCGGCTGAATGCGCATGCGCGGCAGGAGCTGCGCGCGCATTCAGCCAGTCTCATAGGAAAGCATTCATAATGCTTTCCTATGGACGCTGGCGTCTTCTCACTGTGATTTTCACAGTGAGAAGCATGCAAACGCCTCTAGCGGCTGTCAATGAGACAGCCACTAGAGGCTTTAGAGGCTGGATTAACCCTAATATAAACATAGCAGTTTCTCTGAAACTGCTATGTTTATTAAAAAATGGGTTAACCCTAGCTGGATCTGGCACCCAGACCACTTCATTAAGCTGAAGTGGTCTGGGTGCCTAGAGTGGTCCTTTAATATTTTTAATTGACACCTATAGGATACAGGAAGCCAGTGTGAGGATCAACAGAGGGGCGAGGTATGGGAGGAGCGACGGGTGAGAAAAATCTGCATTCATTACTGAGACCAACTAGGAGACTAGTAATCCATGCGAGAGTTACCAGAGCATGATCAAGCTCCTTG